GATCAGTGATGCGTTCGGCGAGAAATAGGGTGAATTTCCCAGTTGTTGGTTCAATCGCGGACTTGATGAGAAACGTTTATGGACAGGAATCACCTTCATTTGGTCGTTACACTGAGATTCATTCTTTACAAATAAATATCGGCGAAGACGCCTTAATCATCGGTGACGTTAATTTCATACGGTCATTGAACTTCAATGTTCTTCATTGCAGTTCAACTACATCAGTTCTACCAGTTTTCAACAATTGTCAATTGTTGACATTTATAGCTGCAGAAAGTGATAATCACGTAAGTAAATTTTTGTATATTTATATTTATATTTTTATACATTCATACTTAAAAAACTTCTAATTTAAAAATTTGTGAATAGGTATTTCCACTGGTAACAATTTTGTGGTCTCGAAGAACTCCAGCTATTTGTGCTGCAGTAATGACATTAATACGTATGAACTTCTTAACTCAAGAAGTCGATACTATTTTTACGGATTATGATCTTAAGCTGTGCTTTAATCAAGCTTTTCCGAACAGTCAAGTAACTGTAACTTACGATAGTTTTTGCCGGGTATACACCTTTTATAAATAATATTAATATAATTTGACTTTTAATACAGTAATAATAATAATAATAATTATCATAATTACCATTATAGGTTATTGAACAAAGGCGACTGCTTGGCCGAGCCGCCAAAAAAAAAAAAAAAAAACGGTTATTGAACAACAAGCTCGAAATTTTATGGTAGACACTAGAGTTCCAGCGATTAGAGATTTTTTGAAGAAATGCATGAGCTTAATTTTACTTCCAGAACAAGAAATTGACAACGGCTTTATTGAAGCTATTAATTCCGTTCCGCTTTACTTACAACCACAGCTACAGCCATTTTTACAGTATATGCAGCTGAAATGGTTAAATGAAACTAAAATCCATGCTATGAAATTGTTTGACAACACTGACGGAATCAAAGACATCAGTATCATTTTTACTCGTGAATTACAATATCGCTGTGGAGGTCAAAACATGACGATCTGGAATTTTTTGAGTAAGTCGTTTTAACAATTTAAACGTAATTACAAGTTTAATTTAAAATCATAATTTTTTCATGTTTAGAAAATTATGTTACTAGTTTAGTTAAAAATTATAATTTTTTGTATTATTGTATTTATTGTATTTATTGTATTGCTTAGAAAATTATGTTACAAGTTTAATTTAAAATCATAATCTTTTTTATGTTTAGAAAATTATGTTTCATTTATGAATATTGCGTCAAATGATGCGGCACGAATTCGCAATCACTTGGATGCACGAATTCGTTTTCCACGCTCTAACAGTTTCTGCTTGGAGAGAACATTGTTGCAAAGGCAATGGTCTCTGATGAATGACAACATAATAACAGCAACTCAATTTCAAGAAGCCCTGTTCCCGAGAAAAAATATTTATATATAATTATATATATTTATATATAAATTGGTTATATATGATTATATATGAAAAATGGCCAAATATAATCATATCTAATTATATATAATTATGTATAATTATATATAATTATATATACCAATATTTAATTATAGATTTATTACATCTAATTAATTATTGGGTTAATTTTATGGATAGAGTATTTAATATGGTCCTACGCAATTTTGTGTAAACGATCAAAATGCAAAAAAAATATCTAGATCTAATTTTATGGCTATAACACCAGCGGTCACCCATCCAACTATTAACCCTACTCAATGCTGCTTAACTTTGGTAATCTCCGTGCGTCTTGAAGTTTCTGTCTGCTGTGCTGCTGTCTTAGACAATAATGATTCTACGATCTACTTAATGTATCATATGAGTTTATCATAAATATAATATAAAAATTGATTTTATAATATATTTGGATAGTCATAATTCATAATTTATTTATCTTACCGAATTTCATTATAATATAACACTTATTTAAATAATAAAATAAATAATGATTTCACTATTACGTAGTAGCAGAGCAGACAAAACATCTCATAGGAAATGTGGCAAATTTTGTATTTCAGAATTATTTAAACGTAATTATAAACATCATTTTACACTTTTTGTGATTACCAAAAAAAATTTTTTTTTCAAAGAAAAAATTTTTATGTATGTTAATTATATATAAGCATATATAATTATATATGGGACTATGTATAATCTTTCATAGCTGTATATTGCTCCATATATAGTCATATATAATTATATATGATTATATATGACCTCATATACAATTCCATATATAATCATGTATGATTATATATAATTATATATAATCTTGCTTGGCTGTACATTGCTCTATATATAGTCATATATAATTATATATGATTATATATAACTTCATATACAATTCCATATATAATCATGTATGATTATATATAATTTTATATACTTATATATATTTGTATATGGAACTATATATAATCCTGCATGGTTGTATATCGCTCCATATATAGTCATATATAATTATATATGATTATATATAACCTCATACACAATTCCATATATAATCATGTATGATTATATATAATTATATATGGTTATATATAATTCTATATAATTACATATGTGATTCCATATATAATCATATATGATCATATACAATTATATATGATTATATAGAAACATTTTTTCTCGAGTTATCTGTCCAAAGCTTACACTTCAGCAATTTAGTTTATAACGCTGAGTTATTAATTGATGATCAGTTGGACTCAATTGAAACAGTTACTAATGGTAAGTAATATATACAAATGTTATAATTACTAACTTTTTAAAAGCTTAAATTAATTATAAATAAATTGGTAATTTAATTTCAGCACATGGTATGCATGTTAATCAAAT